GCCGGGTCCTGCTCCGCCGGGGGCTCCCCGGGAGAGCTCCGGTGCGGCTGTGGGGCCGCTCCCCGCCCGCCACGGCCTGACGCCCGGCTCTCCCGGCACAGGCATGGCTGCAGCTCTACGGGTACCTGCCGCAGCCCAGCCGGCAGATGTCCACCATGCGCTCGGCTCAGACCTTCTCCTCAGCCCTTGCCGAGATGCAGAAGTTCTACGGCATCACGGTCACCGGTGTCCTGGATGAGGAGACCAAAGCGTGAGTTTCTCCATGTCCTCTTGCTCTGGCAGCAGGCAGCCACGCTCCCTGGCTTTGCCTGCCGGCCCCGGGGCTCTGCCTGCACCTGCAAGCGTGGGCCCTGTCTCCCGTGGGAGCTGCAGCTCCCTTTCTGGGGGCTGTGCCACTGCAGCTAGGACCCCTCCCTCGCCATCCACGGCTGCTGCAACGCCACCCCCAGGGACCTTGGCCGTGGTGGGCTGAGCCCTGGCTCGATGCCCCTCCTGGCAGGTGGATGAAACGTCCCCGCTGTGGGGTCCCGGACCAGTTTGGGGCGCGGATGAAGTCCAACATGCGGCGGAAGCGGTACGCGCTGACAGGGCGGCGCTGGAGCCAGAGCCATCTCACCTTCAGGTACCAGCATCTCCAGGGCTCACCCCCCTGCCCCCGGAGAGCTGTGGACCCCAGCAGGGGGTGAGCACTGGCCCGGGCTATTCCCAGCAAGCTCTCTACCCCCAGCATCCAAAACTACACAGAGAAGCTGGGTCGATACCACTCGTACGAGGCCATCCGCCGAGCTTTCCAGGTGTGGGAGCGAGCCACGCCACTGGTCTTCCGGGAGGTGTCCTACGAGGACATCCGGCAGAAGCGGAAGAAGGAGGCTGACATCATGGTGCTCTTCGCCTCCGGCTTCCATGGAGATAGCTCCCCCTTCGACGGTGTCGGGGGGTTTTTGGCTCACGCATATTTTCCCGGTCCTGGCATGGGGGGGGACACGCATTTCGATTCAGATGAGCCCTGGACACTGGAGAACTCGGATGTGTCTGGTGAGTTGAGGGCCAAGGAGGTGACGACAGCAATGAGAGGAGCCTCACAGGCTGGGTTTGAGAACAGGGAGGTGCTCTGGTGTGGGCAGGAGGGGCAGGGAGGGCAGCTCCACCTCAGGTGATGCAGGCAGCTCCCACCCAAGCACCCTCATCGCGGGGTGTTGGGGCCAAGGACCCACCTCATGCATCATGTTCCCCACCACACCCACCTGCCTTTCCCTGCAGGGAACAACCTTTTCTTGGTGGCTGTCCATGAGCTGGGACACTCACTGGGCTTGGAGCACTCCAGCAACCCTAGTGCTATCATGGCTCCCTTCTACCAGTGGATGGACACAGAGAACTTCCAGCTGCCCGAAGACGACCTCAAGGGCATCCAGCAGCTGTACGGTGAGGAGCTGGGAGGGGGTCAGCCCAGAGGTGGGATGCTGGGCACTTCTGTAGGGCAACTGAGGCATGGGTGCTGCTGGCCTGCATCATCCCATCCCTTCTCTCACCCACCCCATCCAGGTACCGTGGACGGGCACCCTCAGCCCACCAAGGCTTTGCCCACCGTGACACCCCGGAGACCTGGCAGGCCAGACCAGAGACCCCCTAAACCGCCTCCCCCGGGGAAACCAGAGCGACCCCCCAAACCTGGCAGCCCAGACCGACCTGACCAGTATGGCCCCAACATCTGCGATGGGAACTTTGACACAGTGGCGGTGCTGCGTGGGGAGATGTTTGTGTTCAAGGTACCTGCTGGGGCCCCCTCCTGCCCCTTCCCTTGGGATGTGGTGGGTCCCTGGGGGGGAAGAGCCCCCCGGCAAGATGCCTGGCACTGGGACTGTGTCCCTGTGTGTCCCCTATCCTCTGCCAACAACCCATTTCCCACCAGGGCCGGTGGTTCTGGAGGGTCCGGCACAACCGGGTGCTGGACAACTACCCCATGCCCATTGGGCACTTCTGGCGGGGTCTCCCCGGGGACATCGATGCTGCCTACGAGAGGCATGATGGGAGGTTTGTCTTCTTTAAAGGTGAGCAGGGGGAAGCTGGGTGGGAGGGCTGAGGTGGAAAGGGGATGCCAGTGCCGCCCCCCC